ATGCAGAACACCCCACCCCCCCGGGACCCAGTCACTATAGTGCTTTTTGTGTTAAAGTGAAATTTCAAACCAAGCTGTTTACCCTGCAGTCACGTGTCTACATGTCTCATTTTCTGCACATGAATAGTTCTGTTCTTGCATAAACCAATGAGACTTTTATCACTACAGTTTGCTGAGAGCTGGCCTAGGTCCTAAATGTACATTTAGGAAATTAAAGCAAATATGTCCCAAACCAAAGTTGGGAAGAAGCCCATAAAGAACGGATTGAGCCAACCATGCCTTCCAATTTGTCTTTGTCCTACTTGGTAACTACTGCTTAAACATAAGCTGTATTTGTATAGGTTGCGTTTATGGCTTCAATGGCAACCCATTTCAGTAACCAGAACAGTGGAATAATCTTCAGTAGTGTTGAAACCAACGTTGGAAATTTTTTTGACGTGATGACTGGTCGATTTGGAGCACCCGTGAATGGTAAGTATAAAGAATAGCAGATTCTATTCTTAGAAATGTCAGCCAGACTTCTTAATACAGTACTGGCTTGATTATGGCCAGAATCGTACAACCCATGGAAATTGATCTTACTGAACTAAGAGGGTCTTCTGAGTAATTATGCATAGAATTGGAATTGGCATGGGGTATGTTATTATCTGAGGAAAGAAGTAGAGCAAATGCAATTTATATATCTAACAATATATTGTGGATCATTGATTCACCCAATATTCCATTTTTATTTTGATTGAAGTCATTGTGGCTTCACAGAATTCAGACCATTAGGCAAGGATACAGGTTTCAGAGAGGGATTGGTATGCAAGGAATCAAAACCAATTTCTTAGTAGTTAGTACCCATGTTTTCTTGGAAGTGGACATACGCAGAAACATTTTGTATGTTACATTCTTTGCCAGGGCAGTAACTTGTGTAAGAATTGTCCCATCTGAACTATTTTGTATAAACAATTTAATAAGTTCTATGATCGTTTTTCAGGAGTGTATTTCTTCACCTTCAATATGATGAAGCATGAGGATGTGGAGGAAGTATATGTTTATTTAATGCACAATGGCAATACAGTTTTCAGCTTATACAGGTGAGTTAACTGGCATTTCTAGACTTCGTACACTTCCAAATTTTTGTCCAGTGGGATAGCACATACTTGGCTTTCAAAGTCCCACATTCAGTCAGGTTGCAGGTGATGTACAAGACCTTGGTAGGAGAGCTGAGGCCACAAAGAACAGCCAGCCATGGGCTAAATTGACAATCTAACCTGGTGTATGGCTGCCTATTTTTGAAAATGGCAGGTTTGCCCTTAAATCAGGCATCCCCAAACTTGGCCCTCCAGATGTTTTGGGACTACAACTCCCATCATCCCTAGCTAACAGGACCAGTGGTCAGGGATGATGGGAAATGTAGTCCCAAAAATATCTGGAGGACTGAGTTTGGGGATGCTTGCCTTAAATCAACTTGCTTATATTCTATTTGAATAGGATTGCAGCTGGAACTTTACATTACTAGGCAATTAATGCTCCTAAACACCTAACCTGCTGCTTCAGTGCTGCAAAGCAATACTAGGAAAGGGGGATTACAGATGAGCAGTGGGACTCAGTGGGATACTGGGTCCTGAACACCCCCATTAATTTTTTAAATTTTTCTCCCACCTTTCATAAGTTCCTAGGGCATGTTACAAATGAAACAAAAGGCTTGATTAAAATAACAGAATCAGTAAAATCAATAAACTAGACTCCTATTTCCACAGTGGGGGATTGGTTCAAAATAATAATGTGCAGATAGAAAGTTGACCCCTGTTGTCTTCTCTTTATTCTTAGCTATGAATCAAAAGGTAAAACTGACTCATCAAGCAATAGCGCAGTGCTTAAACTTGCCAAGGGAGATGAAGTTTGGCTGAGGATGGGCAATGGAGCACTCCATGGGGATCATCAACGCTTTTCCACTTTTGCAGGGTTTCTTCTTTTTGAAACCAAATAGACTTAACATTTTAAGACAGATTTTGCTCTTTTCTCTCTCTATCCTTTGGAACAACATGGTAACGTACTTCAGGGCCCTTTTTGAAACCAGTATGCTGGGGTCTAAATCTATGAAGCGGTATGAGAAAGGTTAGGCCTGCTTCCTTATGGGTTTGTTGTTGTTGTTTTTTTTAACCACACTACCTTGCTATGGCCCTGATGCCACTGAAATCTGAAATCCTATTCCAGAATGCTATGATGATTACAGCCTTTGGCCCCAATCAATGTGGCTTCACACTTGTATGGATTTGTTCAACATACAGGCTTGTGGGTCTACTTTCTTCTTTCAAATTGATTCAGAAGTCACTGGGAACTTCATATGTGCTTCTGAGCTCCTTCATCCGTAACAAAAAATCAGAAGCACACCTAGTCTGCGCACAGCACCACATCCAGTAGGGAAATACAGATATGGAAGTGCATAGACATAGCTGTTCCATAATAAATTTATAACAACATGACCTCTGAATTGTTAAAATTAGTTGCTAACTGGTGCATCTACTTTAGGAAGAATAATAGTTTAGAATTTTTGCCTTCTCTGTCCTTATAAATGCTCAAATCTTGATTTGTATGCTTTGGGTGATCTACAACTAAATTAAATTGAATTGTCTATAAAGCGATTTACTCATCCTGTATGAATGGTTAGGCATGTTGGCTAAATTCAAGTACTTTTACTTAATGGAGTTTGTAGAATGGAGAATATACTATTTTTTACTATGTAGGCTTGTTTAGTTTGCACGAATGAAAATCTTCATGTTTTAAAGTATATCAGCAATTTTTTCTGCATGCTTTAAAAAGCAGAATCAATTTGTCATTAGTTCTTATTAAAGTATTTTGACCCTAGCTCAGTAGAATGAAACAAGTTTGAATCTTTTGTCATGAATGTGTTTATTTGCTTATTTTGTAAACTGATCACTTACTAATTAAAGACCACTTTGGACAAATCTCTTGCATGCACCATTAAAATTATTTTCTCTCTCATAAGGTGGGATATAGATTTTAGGAGCTTAAGGCGACATACTTTGTTCTCCCCCAACTCATATTATCATCAGGGCAGCTTTTTGAGGTAGGTTAGGCTGAGAGGTGGTGATTGAACCAAGGTCATCCAGTGGATTTCATGGCTGAGTGGGGACTTGAACCCTGGTCTTTCCCGGTCCAACACTCTAACCAGTATACCACACTGCTTTCTCAGTACACTGAAAATCAAGAAGGCCGAATGAATAACCCATATTGGATTTTTCAGAACTCTTTAGGAGTGGTTGCAAGATAGGAAGAACCAAGATTGTATTCAGAAAGATACACTCCAGCTGAGCTCTGGGGAAGAACTGAAGCACAAAAAATACATTGTCAGTGCAACATAACCTTAAAAGAAAAGTTAATACAGTTTGTTCCATGTTACTATTACTTATATTTCTACAAGCAGGTTCTTAGAAGTGTCATGCTGTGTTCAATGGCATGATGTGAATATACACTGGCCATTCTCCTACAGGTGTATCTTTTGTTGTAGTAGTGTGAGCTTCTATAGAAACCAGTTTTTTTTTATTTCACATGAAATGCTTCCAAGACAAAGCCGGTAATTTTGCTTAAGCTACCTTGCAGAATTTATTCCCTGTTATCACAGCTTGTTTTTCAAAATAATTTGAACAACATTTTGAATGTCAAGGAACATGGGGAAAAGGAAGGGGAAAAATCTAACACAATTACGCCTGCTTCAAAGAAATTATATGCTTATCTGCCATCTGCAGGAGAGCACCTCCAAATAAAATAGCAATCTAATGAAGAACCAGAAATGCAAATGCTCTGGTCTCTTCCTTTGATTATTCATTGTCTAGAAACATAAAAGGCAGCTTTGCCGCTGAAAACATTCTTCAGAAAACATACTGTACTATAAAGCTGGGTCTAATGCCAATACTTCAAAATATCATGGAACAATTGATTGGGCCCAATGGGCCATTGGATGAAGCGATCTAGTACGTCATCTGTTAGGCGGGGAGGCTGAGCAGCTTCAACAAAGCCCCATTACCTGTCTGACTAACAAGGACAGCTGCTTTGGGCTTTGACTTGCAAGCCACGAGGGTGTTCCCCATTTCCACACATTTCACTGAGGTCTGGAATGTACCCACACCCCAGTAAATGGGGAGTTGCCTGTAATAACATTTCCAAGGAACACCACTCCATCCAGTCCAGTCCAGTGCATGCTTCCTCGGAAGCAAGTCCCACAGAGCTCAGTGAAGCTTACCTTATACCCTAGTAAGCTTTATTTAGGATTGCACCCTCACAGCTTGGCCCTGTGTGTGCTGGGTGGAGGACATGGGACAGGGCCTTCTCAGTGGCTGCTCCCAGATTCTGGAGAAGCTCCCTCCCTAGAGAAGCTAGACTGGCTCCTTCCTTGCTGTCCTTCTTCTGGCAAGGGAAGACTTCCTTGTTCCAACAGGCTTCGGGGAACTGGCTTTTACTGAAAGGGCTGCCGCCATGCATTTTTTATTGCAGTTCTTCATATGGTCTTAACAGATGTTATGTACCATATACAGTGGTACCTCGGGTTAAGTACTTAATTCGTTCCGGAGGTCCGTTCTTAACCTGAAACTATTCTTAACCTGAAGCACCACTTTAGCTAATGGGGCCTCCTGCTGCTGCTGCTGGAGCACGATTTCTGTACTCATCCTGAAGCAAAGTTCTTATCCCGAGGTATATTTCTGGGTTAGCGGAGTCTGTAACCTGAAGCGTATGTAATCCGAGGTACCACTGTATAGCTTTACTTCTATCCATGCTTAATCAGTTTTTAGTGATGCTTTCCCACCTTATGTTTTTAGCTGTTCTTGTTTTTCTATGAAAGCCACCTTGATTGAGGAAAAAAAGGTGGGGCTATATAAATAAATATGTGGCAATAATAAGACCTCGCTTTACTCCATGGGGCTCTTCAGGGTACACCCAGGGCTGCAGCTTGGCAATGCCTTTCAATCACTCTCACTTCTTTAGTGCCATGGACTGGGCCCCACTAAAAGCACGTTTACTCTTGACAGGAAGCCCCACTGGGCTGAACGGGGCTTGCTCCCTGGCAAGGCCGCCGCACAGGACCGTATCCTCGGCTTGCTGCAGGCACCGGCCGGATTAACCTTCGGAACCGCCGCCGGGAGCTCAGCCCTCCGGAGGGCGAGGAGGAGGAGGCGCCAAATGCGACTCTGCTGGGGCCTGAGCTGAGGGAGAGGCTGCCTGCCTGCCTCCTTTTCTCTCGGCCATGGCGCTGCGCGGAGTGAGGGTGCTGGAAATGGCGGGCCTGGCGCCGGCGCCTCTCTGCGGCCTCATCCTGGCCGACTTCGGGGCGGAGGTGGTGCGGGTGGACCGCTCTCCCCGCGCGGCCGTGTCGTCCGACGTGCAGGGCCGCGGCAAGCGCTCCCTGGCGCTCGACCTGAAGCAGCCCCGGGGCGCCGAGACGCTGAGGCGGCTCTGCCAGAAGGCGGATGTGCTCATCGAGCCCTTCAGACCAGGTGCCGAACCGCTTGTGGGTCGCGAAGGGCCAGCGGGGAAATGTTGGGGGGCGGGGCGGTGTTGGTATCTCCCCTCGAAGTAGGGCGAAGGCTGTGGGGTGGGAGGCAGTTGCCGCTTCGTAGTAGGACGTGAAGTGTTGGTAGCGAGGTGGGGATGAGGCAGCCTCAAGAGGGTGCACCCCAAAAACTGGGTGGGCGCGGGTTGGACTCCATCTCCCAGCCGCCCCAGCTAAGCTTGGCCGACGCTCAAGGATTGTGGGAGTTGTAGTCCAGAGACAGTCTGGCGGGGCCGCAGTTACTCTTGCTTGTCGTAGGGGGGGAAAGGGCAAGCGGAGGTATTTTTTGCCCTGACAGCTATTCGCAAATAGTTGTTGCCCTTTGCCTCTTTTTTCCCCCCTCACACACATCCCCGCCTTCAGTTTGTGTGGCGACGCTTCTCTGCCTTCCCGAGGAAAAATTCCATACGTCCCCCCTAAATGCAGATGTTTATCGAGATGGCTTGTGTAGGTAAAAAACAACAAGCAGACAGAATAAATAGCTGTGTAAAGTGCGAGGTGGGCATTTTTGTACCTGTTTGCAGTTAAATACGTGGAAGGTAGTTTAAAAAAATAAAATTAAACCCATGAAAAAAGAATGTGCGCTTTTTTTAAAAAAAGTAGCAGCTCAAGTTAATTTTATTAACTGCGCCCACAGTTTGGGTTTGAGATTCAGCTGCAGGATGTGTGTGGTTTTGCTCACAGGAGCAGTGTAATACCGTATTTTTCGCCCTATAGGACGCACTTTTCCCCCTCCAAAAATGAAGGGGAAATGTGTGTGCATCCTATGGGGCGAATACAGGCTTTCGCTGAAGCCTGGAGAGTGAGAGGGGTCGGTGCGCAGCGACCCCTCTTGCTCTCCAGGCTTCAGGAAGCTCTGCGCAACCCTCCGGAGCCCGGCGCAGCTTGGCACCGGGCTCCTGAGGGTTGCGCAGAGCTGCCTGCGCTCCCGGGCTCCGCGCAGCTCTGCGCAACCCTCGGGAGCCTGGCGCCAAGCCGTGCCGGGCTCCGGAGGGTTGCGCAGAGCTGCCTGTCCTCCTGGGCTCCGCGCAGCTCTGCGCAACCCTCGGGAGCCCAGCGACAAGCTTCGCACAGCTCTCCGCAAGTCTGGGGAGACCGGCGCAGCTCTCTAGGCTTGCGGATAGCAGGCTGTTCTGGGGTCGGGGGGAGCTCGGGCTTCCCCCGCGCCAGCCCCGTGCCTGGGGGGAAATAATTTTTTTTTCTTTATCCCCCCCCCCAAAAAAAACTAGGTGCGTCTTATAGGGCGGTACGTGAAAAATACGGTACACATTTGAACAATCACAAGCAACTACTTTCACAAATGGAAAATGTCATGGTGCATTTTCCTCCCTCCCACCCCCTATTCACAGAGGTGAATCTTCTGTGTTTGTGTTTCAGGTGTTAATTAAATACTGCATTTTTATCTGCACTGACACTTGGGTTGCTCACAGGAGTAGAGCAGAGCTGGCCCACCCATAAAGCAAGGTGAGGTGACTATCAGGATCCAAGGGGTAGTGGATCCCAATGTAGATCTTTATTCCCCACTTGTTCCTGATGTAGAATCACCTCTTCTACCCTGGTGGGGAGGAGGCAGCATTCCCAAAAATTCACATTTTCCCAAAAATTTGAAAACAAAAATTAGCCATACAGAATATTCCATTAAAGAGAGATAAGAAAATGAAACAGGCTACTCAAAAATTGTCATGTAACAATTCTGCCTTCATATTCAGTATGTGTATAACTTCACACTCTGTATAATACTATTTATACATTCACATATGTTGATCTGCTTATTTTTTAAGTAGAGTTGACTTATTTTATCTTCTTGTTCAGGTGTCATGGAAAAACTTGGTCTTGGCCCAGATATCGTCCTCCAGGACAATCCCAAACTCATCTATGCTAGGCTGACGGGATTTGGACAGTTGGGAAAATATGCCAAGTTGGCAGGTCATGATATCAACTACTTGGCTGTGTCAGGTACATTGTGTGACTTAATTTCTTTTTTAAAAAAGCAGCAACCTTATATTAAATAATAATTAACTTGAAAGAGATTTGTGGTTAATATAGTTAGCATTAATTAGGAGGCTGTAGGGTACAAATTTTGTTGCTCGGTCCCTGCTCCTGCCAACCTAGCAGTTCAAAGCACGTCGAAGTGCAAGTAGATAAATAGGCGTTTCCGTGCGCTGCTCTGGTTCGCCAGAAGCGGCTTAGTCATGCTGGCCACATGACCCGGAAACTGTACGCCGGCTCCCTCGGCCAATAAAGTGAGATGAGTGACGCAACCCCAGAGTCGGTCACGACTGGACCTAATGGTCAGGGGTCCCTTTACCTTTACCTAGGGTACAAATGGGTGGTTGGGGTACAAATAAAATTATTATTATGCAGACGTGCTTGGTTGTAGTTCATTAATGTTCTTTTTTTGCATTTGGTCAATCATTTATTTTTATTTGGATAGTAAACCAAGGCATCAGCCTTTAGGGTGTTTTACTTTTGTTTTGCTGGGAAGAGCATACCTATATAGACTATGCTGCAGAGTCCAACTGTTTTGAGATTCACAGTAATTTCTGTGCATGTTTACTTGTGATGCTTTTATAATGTGATACTTGTGATACTTAGATATTTCTTTGAAATAATAAGTGGTATATAAATTACCTAAATTAATAAATGAATGAAATGGTTGTTAACTCTTCCTGACCTGAAGATAGTTTGGGCTCCAATCCACACTTACCTGGGAATATATCCTATTGAACACAGGGGGACTTATTCCCAAGTAAACTTTCATTGGATTGCACTGCTGAACAGCAATGGTATATTTGAGTAGATTATGTGAAATACAGTAATAATGCTGTCATGGAAATAATATTTACTGAAAAAAATTCTTGAAACTTATTGATTACAAAGCAAACCATAGTTATTTATCAATCAGAGAAAATGTTTCTATATTAGGAATTCCTCAGTGGATCTTTCAATGCAAGGGACTTAGTTATAATTCCCACCTCTTTTCAGTGAAAGGCTTATACAGATGTTTGTTGCTAAAAACCATCTTGAAGACCTGGCAAGCATTTCCCCCAGATATCTCTTTGCAAATCCTCCACTCCAGTACAATGCATTCAACAGCTTAAGAACATAATTGGAGATTGTTAGAAAACTGATGACTATACATATCTGTGTTTAGAAGACATTCATATGGCTTTCATAACTGGGGAAATTGATTTCAATATTACTTTGTGTATATCTATTATTGTATATAGGTGTTTTGTCAAAACTTGGCAGAAAAGATGAAAATCCTTATGCTCCCATCAATCTTCTGGCTGATTTTGCTGGTGGCGGTGTGATGTGTGCAATGGGCATCATCATGGCACTCTATGAACGTACAAAATCCGGCAAAGGGCAAGTCATAGATGCAAGTATGGTAAGTTAAAGAAAACAAAACAAGTTACAGACTGTTAAAGATAGGGCATGTGGAACTGTATGTACTTTAAGACAACACATCAGTCCACAAAACCCTTTTTTGATCCAGTTCTTGTTGCTCTGTTGTGTGTATAACTTGCACCCCCTTTGAACACAGCCGTCAGATTCTCTGGGTGAGATAAGCAGACCCAGATCAGCTGGATATGGGGATTTCCTTTGTTAAATCCAGCTAATTACTTGGTTATCTCTTCTCTTGATTTATTGTTGCATCAAATTATTTTAGCATCAGATTAATTCATATTTATTCAACAGCTGGGTCTCTGCTCATGTTTTCATTACAGGTACTTCTGTAGGTAACATAAATACAATAGTGTGCTGTGGATAGAAGCTAGCAGTTCTGATTCCATCTGAAATGCTCTTTCTGGCACTTGCTCAACATTAATCTTTGTTTGCTAATTTCTCAATGGGGCAAAGTGTATGGAAGCTTCCACAACTGTAGAAATAGTGAATAATCCCAGGTGCTGATGTTCGTATCTGCTCTAACACATTATCATATTGCATATATTTTGGCAGCTGCAAACATTTCTGTTTCTAAGCAAGCTGCCCTGCCATTAGATATGTGATCCTGAGGAGTTTGGATTTTATGTTATTTGTATTGTTGATCTTTCTTTCTTTGGGTTTATTGCTGTATGCAGCTTTAGACAAGAATTACCCAGAACAGCAGCCTTGAAATGTTTTACATTAAATAATAAAAAAACACATCATATTATATAGCTATGGCTGGATATATGGGGTTCAGCCCTATAATTCATGCAGATGTTTTCAGGGTAGAGGAGGAAAAGAAGTAATGAGAGGAATGGCAGGCATGTTCATCCATGGACAGAGTTGGCCAATAATTATCCAAAACAGATTTTTAAAATTGGAACTCCAGTGGACCCTCCAGATACAAACTTAATTCATTCCGGGGGTCCGTCCGCACCCCAGAAATTACGTAAATAGAGGCATGCTTCTGTGGCGCGATTGAGCGCTTCTGCCCTTGTGCGCACAACGAAACCCGAAAGTATACACTTCTGGGTTTGCCTGGCCGTAAGCTGAAGATTCCGTATCCAGAGGGATATGTAAGTAGAAGTATGACTGTGCAATAATTTAATTTCAAATATTTACATATTAAAAAGAAACAAGAAGAGTTTGGATTTGAAGAGTTTGGATTTGATATCCCGCTTTATCACTACCCGAAAGAGTCTCAAAGCGGTTCACATTCTCCTTTCCCTTCCTCCCCCACAACAAACACTCTGTGAGGTGAGTGGGGCTGAGAGACTTCAGAGAAGTGTGACTAGCCCAAGGTCACCTGTAATGGGATGATGAGCTGCTTGTGCATAAAATGCAAGTCCCTCAGAGTTTGGTCAAGTCCTCAAACCTCTGCCTACGACGGAGCCCCTCCAGCATGGCTCCGTCAGTCGCTAGCAGAATCCGAAAGTGGTCTCTTACGGAATCTCTTCCAGCATAAAAGCTCCTTAACGGAAACACGTCTTCTGGACTCTCGGTGTGACAGTTTCCGGCGAGGAGTGGGTGTCCCTATAGGAGGTCTTGAAACCTCCCCACTGTTTTCGCTGGAAGTGTCTCTGAGCCATCCCTCCGACTCACTTTCCCCTGGAGCCCCTCCTCTCCCCCTGCTGGTTCCCTCTTCAGCTGCTAAGTCTGTCTCAACCTCAGGGAGCCCTTCCACCTCCTGTCCTTCCGATGGCAGTTCCCTGACATCACCCAGCAGCTGCATATGGAGGAGCAGAGATGCGAACCCGGTTCCCCACTGCTCTTAACCACTACACCACACTGGCTCATTGTAATGTACTTGTGTGGGTGGGGAGGGGGAACTGAAACGATGAAGTTATTAATGCATTTCAGAATCAGAAATGTGTTTGTGAGCAACTCTGGACTGGTTGGAATGTGGGATCTGCATAAAATGATCACCAGGCGTCCTTGACAAGATTATATAGCCTCTAGCAGTTCACTTCCCACATGCTTACAACATTCTTATCGCCTAAAGAAGGCTGTTGAACATACAGTGAGCAGGAGGGGGGAGAGGGGAAAGGAAGAGCAGAAGATCCTGTTTTGCAACTTTGCTATTTCAAAATATTTCTACTCTCACCATCTTGTATTTCTGTGCTACATCACTATGGGTTTTTTTTGGTAGAAATAGAGGTGTATTTTTAGCTATCAGGGTTCCACTTGCTTCATCCACATGGTGAGAGTAAGTCACAGAATCATAGAATTGGAAGGGGTTCTTAGGGTCATCTAAACCAACCCCCTGCAATGAAATAATATCAACTAAAGCATCCGTGATAGATCCATCCAAAACGTCAGGTGAAAGAGAGTCCACCACCTTCTGAGGAAGTTTGTTCTACTGTTGAACAGCTCTTATGACCAGAAAGTTCATCCTCATGTTTAGTCAGAATCTCCTTTCTTGTAACTTGAATCCATTGGTTTGGGTCCTACCCTCCAGACTGCAGAGCTTTCCAAACTGTGTGCCAGGACACGTTAGTGTGTCGGCTGCAGTGTGTAGGTGTGTCATGCAAACACTCCCTGTGCTCCTCCCGAGGCTGGAAAGGGGTTAGTTTAACCTCCAGTTTGCTCGTAAAACTGAATTAAAAAGGTAAAGGTACCTCTGCCCGTACGGGCCAGTCTTGACAGACTCTAGGGTTGTGCACCCATCTCACTCAAGAGGCCGAGGGCCAGCGTTGTCCGCAGACACTTCCGGGTCACGTGGCCAGCGTGACAAAGCTGCATCTGGCGAGCCAGCGCAGCACACGGAAATGCTGTTTACCTTCCTGCCAGTAAGCGGTCCCTATTTATCTACTTGCACCCAGGGGTGCTTTCGAACTGCTAGGTTGGCAGGCGCTGGGACCGAGCAACGGGAGCGCACCCCGCCGCGGGGATTCGAACTGCGACCTTTCGATCGGCAAGCCCTAGGCGCTGAGGCTTTTACCCACAGCGCCACCCGCGTCCCTAAAACTGAATTACTGTGTCACAAAATGCTGTAGGTCTAAAAAGTTTGTTACCAACATGAAAAGTTTGGAAAGCTCTGTTCCAGAGCAATAGAAAACAAGCTTGCTTCCTCTTCCATGTGACAGCCCTTTAGATTTTTGAAGTTGCCTATCATATCTCCTGTCAGTCTCCTCTTTAAATATACCCAACTCCCTCAACCATTCCTCATAAGTTGGAAAACATTGTGATCCTTTAATAGATGTCCTGTTTGACTGACAACTGAGTCTGAACCTTATTGGCTGTCCAGCCGGAACCCACACTAGGGAAGTTTGGGTAGTGATGATAAAGCTTCTGGTTTCAGATGATTCTGTAGATTGTAAAACATCCAAGGCATTCTAAGAACTGGGAGAATGAAACAGGTAGCACAGAATATTCACAGGCATTCTGCTCTGAAGGAAATAACACATCACTTCGTGTCTGTAACATAAACTTGGGCTGATTTTATTTTCTTTATTTGTAAATATCAAAACTGGACCAAATCAACAGAAAGATAAAAACAATAAATGTACTGCTAGCATTGCAAAACAATATAATGTTAAAACGAGCAAATTGTTAAACAATAAAAAAAACCAATCAAAGCTAATCTGGAAAAAAACTCAAATAATGCCTTAAATCAGGGCTATGGAACCTTTTTGGGTTAGTGGACCAAATCATCTGGCCCCACCCCATAAACCAAATCTGATAGATGAATGGGACTACCCTCTTGTTGAAGTTCCTTGTGTAGTGCTTCCCAAGCACCGGACAGCTGGTTGTTGGGCACCTGGGAACTGTAGTGCAAGGGGCTGTCCCAGCCCTGTGCTCAGCAAAGCTCAAGAACAAGACACTGCTTTCGAAAATGTTTATTTTAAAATGTAAAATTGGAAAGTTAATAAAAATGGTGCGTGGGGGGGAGAGACTCTGCTTTCTGCAGTTATAAACTACAGGGTTGGGAAACCTGTGGCTCTGCCGGTGTTTGCTGGACTCAAATTCCCACCACCCCTAGCCACCATGGCCAACAGACAGGAATGATGGGAGTTGTAGGCCAACCACACCCAGAGGACCACAGGTTCCTCACCCCATCCCTGCATTGAAGCATTTGCCAAGGCCAAGGATTTAGTGACATCCAAAGTAGGAAACATATTTTTGGACTATCTAGTGAGACTAGAATTAATATTACCAAACAGTGGGCAGCAGTGTAAAAACTAATGAGAGGTGTTTTGGTTTTTTGTCAGCTTAGGGTGTTATTACCTCAGGCAGAATACCTAGCAGAAAAATATTTTCACTCTTACTAATATTTTTTTCCACAAAACGTTAAAATATTTTTTTAAAAAATGTTTGTCTTTAAGGTAGAAGGCACAGCGTACCTGAGCTCTTTTCTGTGGAAATCACAGAGCATTGGCCTTTGGAACAGATCTCGTGGGGAGAACCTCCTGGACAGTGGTGCCCCTTTTTATGAAACCTATAAGACTAAAGATGGGAAATTCATGGCTGTTGGTGCTCTTGAGCCACAGTTCTATAAGCAGTTCATCAGTGGTAAGTTAATCTACAAGAGGCGTGTTTTTAAAGGAGGGAGGGAGGAAGTTTTGGGGTACCATCTCTTTTGAGCAAATATGCAAAAATTAGTAGTAGTATTGTAACACTTAAAGATGCAAAGTAATTTGAAGATTTATCTCCATTGTCTGTATTCCCATTTTACAGATGGAAGAACCAAGTGTTATAGCCAATGAAGTAGCTCTGTTAGCACAAAGATTTCTGTTTGTGCATCATATCTTTGCCTCCATCTCCTCTCCCTGTGTTTGTGCATCGTATCTTTGCCTCCACACCCTCCCCAAATCTGCTCCGGAGAGTTGGAGGGAAATCCAGCACAGATTTTGGGGTGGGTGAGGTGATAGGAGAGGGAGGGCAAGTTCCATTGTTCCTTGTTCTAATGGAACTACTTGGAGCTTGAAAGACTTAAGATTTTCCAAAGGCCACCTAGTGACTTTATTGCAGCGCTGTTAGTTCAGCTTCAAGCCCTAGAATGTTTTTTTTAATCTGTTGAACTACTTTGGTTAAGTTTCTAGTTTTTCAGGTGAGAGCTTTATCTAGCTTTATTTCATCAGTGATTAACCTATTTGTTGCATCAGCTCAGCAAATGTTCAACCGTCCTGCAAAACCAGAATTGCTGACAGAGCAAAGTGATGAGTCTTTCACTACACTGTGTGCACAGAGAATATTTGCTAATGGGTACAACCCTTACAGTGAAGTTCTCAATTGGGTTCTATCTTCATAAAGGTCTAAGCTTTTTTTGTGAGTTTACAAGGATTGGCAGCTGAGCAGAGAATATGGACTGGGAGAAGCCCAATACGCCAAACTGAAATGAGTTCATCTGCATGCACACTCCTCTGCTTCTGAATCAGGAGAGTGTTCCAGGAAGCAAATGAAGCGGGCAAGGGGAAGGAAACAATACCAGATTTCTACTAAAGTCATAGTGACTTGCTGTTGCTGTTTAGTCATTTAGTCGTGTCCGACTCTTCGTCACCCCATGGACCAGAGCACGCCAGGCACTCCTGTCTTCCACTGCCTCCTGCAGTTTGGTCAGACTCATGTTTGTAGCTTCGAGAACACTATCCAACCATCTCGTCCTCTGTCGTCCCCTTCTCCTTGTGCCCTCCATCTTTCCCAACATCAGGGTCTTTTTCAGGGAGTCTTCTCTTCTCATGAGGTGGCCAAAGTCTTGGAGCCTCAGCTTCAGGATCTGTCCTTCCAGTGAGCACTCAGGGCTGATTTCCTTCAGAATGGATGCATTTGATCTTCTTGCAGTCCATGGGACTCTCAAGAGTCTCCTCCAGCACCATAATTCAAAAGCATCCATTCTTCGGTGATCAGCCTTCTTTATGGTCCAGCTCTCACTTCCATACATCACTACTGGGAAAACCATGGCTTTAACTATACGAACCTTTGTTGGCATAGTGACTTAGTTTGAGGATTTCTATTACAGATATTAATATCCAGCGCACCATACCATACAGATGAAAAATGCTCTTAAAAGGAAACAATGTAGATCTAATGCGAGTTCCATTTGTCACAAATTGGCACTGAGTCTTACTAAAATACACATTTTGATCTGGGGCTAGCATTACTCCAGGATGTTTGCTTTCATAACGAAAACTGATAGTTTACATCAGTATTCCAGCGTCTGGTGCCCCATTTCCTCTCTCTCTCTCTCTCTCTCTCTCTCTCTCTCTCCCAAGTCTAATGCTAAATTGGAATGCTTGGTCACCCCATCTCATTTGTCTTGTTCCTTTGACACTCAACTTTCATTCATCATTCCTTTTATCATGGAACTGTTTTGTATTTTTAGTCTTGAATGAGGCTGCTGTTCCTTTTAGTAACTGGGTATATTACTCAGTATAGTAGGCATAGGACAAACTTTTCTAATAATTGTTTTAATCTGAAGCCATGAGACTTGGTATAACACAATATTTTCCTTTGTAATATTTTTGGATTGCACTGAAGTGTTGAAATCTTTACAAAAAATATGAAGTTGCTGTTGTCTACAAGTTGAAGGCAAGGGTGGGAAGAGACATGATCACTAATTTTTAATTTACTTACTTAAAATGTCATGTCTCACCTTTCCATTGAAAAAAGATTTCCAATGTGGTATCAAATCAGTATAAAAGCATAGTAACATAACAATGCAATCATGGCGCCAGCAACAATAAAACAATAGCTGCTGAAGATTACATAGTCAATAACTGCATAATGGAATAATTGAATAATCGTATTTATATAGCTTCCTGTAGGGCATGTTATCCTATTCAAAGCTAATAAAATGAATTTAGAACATTAAAGCTCTCAACTTTAATATCCACATATAAAAAACTAGTGCCTTGGGTTTCAGTAATTTCCTGGGCTATAATATATATCCATGGATATCATTTCCTGTTAACGGCTTGTTTTCTGTTCAGTAAAGCGGTAAAATTGATTGGTATGGAAATGTACCCTGAAGTTTTATTATAGAGTCGGTTCCTTTTCCTTCCAGAGACCCCATACTTGCTGTTGGAGGACTGCTGCGCAAAACCTATAGCATACCCTTCTATTAACCATATAGATTGTTGCAACACCAAGCCTGAAAAATGAGAACCAATAGGGCATGCTAGAAATTTGCACAGAGGCAAAAGCCAAAATTTGAAGCTCAATAACTGCCTGCTTTCTCTAACCCTCTTCTCTTGCTGCTATAGTTCTCTCTCTGTCATATATATATGTATTAGCTATTGATGTTGTGTTCTCATTTCAGTAAGGGAAAATTCAGAATAGAATCCTAATGAATTCTCTTCTTGGGGATATTTAAAAAAAATACTGCTGCTGATTCGATACAGCTACTGTAAAACATTTCCTGTACTCTTCCAACTAGTTATGTTTGAGATAAAGAACTCCTAGGTGAAATCTACACACATATAAAAACAGCTGTGAAAATGCTTTTTAATATTTTTTTAAAAAAATACATTGAATTTTGCATAGCTCGCTGTCGCCATCTAATATCACATATGTATATTGCACTTTACAACACATTTTAAGTGTTTTATTTGCAGCCGTATAACTGAGTCCCTAAATTGATTTGTTAACACGTTCCAAGGGTTGAATTGGAGTACGAAGGTTAAAAGAAAGTCAACAACACTGCCAAGTTAGGGTCTCTTGCTTTGCCTTTTATCCTTGGATATAGTAGTATGTGTAGAATAGAATAAGTTGCTTTCTGCTGAGTCAAATCAATGGCCCATCTAGCTTAGCCTATTCTGTCTTGCCTGTTCTTTCTGGTAGCAGCTCTCTACAGTCTCTAGGACAGGTTTTTCCAATCTTTTCCTACTTGATCCTTTTTACTGGAGTTGCTGAGTAATGAACCTAGGACCTTCTGCATGCAGAGAGGCAGCTACATCCCTAAATAAGTGATCTCATGGACAGTATCAGAATTCTTGTGGCATAAGCATTCATTGGCCAGAGTCAGATTTATCTACTGTATTATCTTGAAGCTAATAACATCGAATTTGGCCTACAAGCATTCATGACACAATTAATGAATTCATTTCTAAGATGCCACAAGGCTCTCTGTTTCTGCTGCTGTAGACTCGCACGGTTACACTTTTGAAATAGCAGAGCTCATGGATAGCACCTGCAGTTTCCCAGAGGAACACAGTGATAGGTGGATGAACCAAGATGTTCAGGTAGACTGTGTGGCTGAAACAACCTAGTGTTCCTTCTCTGGTTCGAGACGCACTGTGAAGATAATGGTTGCTTAAGTAAATTTGCACATCGGCACATCACTGGGGATATGCATGTTTAACTGTAAACATGAGGTGTGTAGCTATAACCTGTTTTAAACATATCCTGTGGCCATTTCTTTAACCTCTGGCCTTTATACTGTTCCTGGTTGTTAGTAATAAATGCAACTTTTGGCAAATCTCTGGGAATTAAATTGGCCCATTTTATTTTATTTTTACCTCTTCAGGTCTGGGGTTAGATGATTCTAATCTTCCTGGTCAGATGAGTTTCTCTGACTGGCCTACAATGAAGAACATGTTTGCAGATTTATTTTCCAAGAAGACCCAAGCAGAATGGTGTGAAATCTTCGATGACGTAGATGCTTGTGTGACACCAGTCTTGGCTTTTGATGCTGCTGCCTCACATCCGCACAACAAAGAACGTGGTTCTTTTCTTAAAAATGACCAGGAGGAGATAAGTCCTCGACCGGCTCCACTTCTTTCTCGGACCCCAGCTACTCCTTCTTCCAAAAGGGATCCATTTATAGGAGAGCACACTGAAGATATCCTCCTGGACTATGGCTTTTCCAAGGAAGAAATTTCACAGCTCCATTCTCTTCAAGTAATTGAATTCAATAAGCCAAAATCCAACTTATAGTAACTTCACAAATCAAAAGAGTCCCACACACTGTGGCAGGTTATATTTTATCCCAATTTGTGCAGTATTCTTAGCAGGGAGACGTGTTTCAAATTATCCTTTTCATTTTCTTTTCAAGAGGATGCTTTGAACGATAGTGAAATTCACAGTATCATGCAGCTAGCTAGACTTGGAAGAAGCTCGTTTCCTCCCTTCCTGCCAATGCCCCTTGAGAGCCATACATTTAAGCTGTGAGAAATGAAGCACTAGCCAGAAAAGATGTACTCTGATCCATGTGGGTCATCATGCAGTGCTGGCACTGAGAATCACACTATTGCAAATAAAGGATCTGCTTGTCCCAGTGTCCTGCAAAGTGTGTGTGTGGGGGGGTATGTTGGTCTGTGTATTGACTGCATGAAGAAATTATTAATGCCAAATTGAGGCAGATTTTCCAGCTGTGTAAAGAATAAATAGACTTCTTTTTTTAAAAAAACAGAACTGTGCTTCCTTAAAAATTACACCCTGAAAGTATTTTCAGAAATGCCTTAAAGGTTTTTACTCACAATGCAAGGATTAAAAATCTCCATTGCTTTATTCAGTAAGCTTATTCCAGAAAGCAGGTACTGTTATTTTCAAAGCGATGTGCCTGTGGAGTAGAGGAAAAGGAGGACATTATTCTCTCCGTACAAGAGAGCCTTGGGTGTTTAAGGGATGTGGGCATTCATCAGTTTTTACCTCCTCAAGATTTTATGCTTACATAGAATAACAAATGGAGCACATGAAAAGTAGCTTCCTTTATGTTAGCATTTGCTATAAGAATATGATAGAATTGTAATGTGGTTAAGTAATTATATTCTTATTTTAATTAATGATGCAAGTGAAGGATTGGAGTTGTGCTAATCTGGTTTTACCTCTTTGATTTTGCGTTTGCAATTTGTTGAGTCATTTTGTTGTGGTTGAATGCCAAAACATGCATATTAAAATTAATTGAATGTTCTGTAAGTTAACTATCAGAATGTTGCAATCCTTTAGTCTCTTTTTAATATACTGTAATTATCTAAAGACAAGTGTTTTTCATAACATGTGCAAATGCCTTTTCTTACAAATAAAAATGTAAAATTAATCTCCAGCAAAGAAATTGGATTTTATTATTTCAGAATATGAATTGCTTGCATTTAAAGCTTGACCATTATTTCAGAAGAATTCCAAGGGTGATATCCCAGGTAAGTCATACTTGGAGTTACTTATTTGGCTTCAGTTGGTCCACACTGACTAATATTAGATATCTCCCACAGAAAATGAGGGGGTGGGGAATGCCTTGAAAAACTCTTTATACTGTTTGCTGATACTGTGGTAGGTGCTGGTTCATTATGGCGGAGGCTTATGATGCCTTTTAATGATAGTTTATATAAAAATCTATGGACTTAGATGGAATGCAGCAAGCAAAGGTGTTGTTGTTAAAAATCTATGGGCTTAGATGGAATGCAGCAAGCAAAGGTAGGGGACCCCAAACCTTAACACCCACTTGCAAACTGCTTTTCACACTGCCTTTCTGGCAATTACCAAAAAGTCACAGCCTCTCCTGTCACCTTCAATGACTATTACATTACTCAGTAGTGTAGCACATTGGAAGTCTGTTTCTCTACCCATTTACTGTGGAGTAAGCCTGAGTTCATACTTCTGAGCAGTTGCGCTTAGGACTGCAGTTTTGCTCTGTGGAGTGCCTACCATTACTCTGCAAAGCAAGCCACTCTTCTGCTTTATACTTCCAAGTTGCATGATGGTGGCTTGGTTAAAGCCCACAATAAGGGCTTGGTAGAGATGGGATCTGATCTCGGGTATCCCATATCCAAGGCGTCCTTGTCTTGATCTTTGGTCTGCCCATCTTACTTGAGTGGTGAGTCAGCCCTCTAGCCAGAGTTCATATTACTTCTGTGCTTTGTTTAGCAGTTGGCTTATTCTTATTCCTTGGTAAATGCTAAAACAGTAGTAATTAATGAAATTTTTAGAGTCTTATCAGCACAAAAGTGGAACCACAAAGCTGGATAAGATAATTTGGAAAGATATTTACATTCATTGGCCAGAATGCTAAGTGACACAGGGTTAGAATCTTGCCTGTACATTTTACTTTTATTTTCTTCTGCGGAAGACATAGACTTTCACTGCTTTACACGAGATCTGGAGGGGAGGGGGGGGAGAGCATGAAAATTCCTTGGGAACACAGGCCCTAGGAAGCATGAAAGCCAAACTTCAAAGCACACAGGATTAAATACCACAAGGAAGGATTGCCAGCCTCCTGCCATTTCTTCCTCCAGACTATCTTAAAAGCAGTTCTGCTCTGCAAACAACTTGTTGCCTGAAATGAAACCACGGAAAGGATACTCTTCCTTGCAACATGCAAAAAATGTAGCTGATGCACCAGTATCTTCCGACTATTAACTTTTGCCTTCCGACTAACTTTGGCTTCGGGCATGTGAGCATAGTATACACACATGATCCACATTCCCCCCCCCCTTTCTCTGAGATAATCCTCCAGTCATAGCTGAGAACTCCCCAGCGAGCCAGGCGCTCTAATTGTGCTAATCTTCCGCCGCAGACACACACAAGACGCACACTCCCCCCTCCACTCCCCCCTCGTGCAACTTGTGATTCCAGAGAGCCCTGAAAAGTATGTGCGTGCCCCTCCTCCAGCTCCTTTTCCTACCGGCTGACCCGAGATCCATGCCTGGCAGAGCACGCTCCCAGAAAGCAGCCCGATGACTCTAACCAGGCAGGATTTCGGTGGGACGCTTCCGCGCCCTTGTGAGTTGGGCATCGCCAGCATGGAATGCAGCAGCGGCAAAGAGGAAACCATGCTTCAGTCCTTGGCAGCTGGAGAGCCCTTCAGGCCCGTGGAGCCCCCGAAGAAGGCAACGGGGAGGTTGGTGATGCACAGCATGGCCATGTTTGGCCGAGAGTTCTGCTACGCCGTGGAGGCTGCCTTCGTCACACCTGTGCTGCTCAGCGTGGGGCTCCCCAAAAGCCTTTATAGCCTCGTCTGGCTCATAAGCCCCATCCTTGGCTTTGTGCTGCAGCCTGTGGTTGGCTCGGCCAGTGACCACTGCAATTCAGCCTGGGGCAAGCGGAGACCTTACATCCTGGTCCTGGGCATTATGATGCTGGTAGGGATGGCTCTGTACCTCAATGGGGAGACAGTTGTCTCAGGTGAGTAACTGAACACTTCGTTGAGCCGTGCAAAATGCACCTTTGTGAATCTGAAGATAAGGGTGGGTGGGTGGAGCGGTGGATTCCCCTCCCACCCCCGACTGAAAATGCAAGCTTTCTCAACAAGTTTGGGTTATGTGTCTGTGAAGGACTAGCTAGCACCGTGAAAATTAACTAATGTGTGAAATAAAAGACCTCTTGCACTACAGGGCTGAACCTTGTGTTTGAAGGAGGCTTGGACGCAAATGCTGTCTGTATTCTGCATGCATGTTTGATACGACTGTTGCTGCCACAGTCGCCTCTTTCCCGTCACAGACAGGTTCCAGGAGTAAAGAAAATAGGCAAAGAGCTAATTTCATTTTGAGATTAATCCTTTTAATCATTGTTTATTTCATGAAAAAGTTGGACTATGCTGTGATTCCATGATGCAGAGGCTAATACTGGCAGAAAGTTACAACAATAACAACAACAACAACTATAATAATAATAATGGACAGTGTCTGTGAAGCACTTCAATCTCCCAATTAATAAAACACAATGCTCTTATTGATTGTTCAAGTACTTCACATACACCAGTATGGCGTAGTGGTTATAGTGTTGGACTAGGACCTGGTAGACCAGGGTTCAAACCCCAATGCAGCTATGAAGCTCATTGGGTGACCTTAGGCCAGTCAATCTTGGCCTAGCCTACCTCACAGGATTCTTGTGAAGATAACATTGGAAGGAAGAGAAATGTGTAGGCCACCTTGAACTCCTTGGGGGGAAAGGTGGGATAAAAATGCAATAAATAAACATCAGTAATCCCTACAAGATCTTTTAGGATCCCTAAATTTAAGGTGCTTACAGCAGGGGCACTTAACAACAGGTAACTGGTTTTATTAGAATCATAGAGCAGGAAGGGATCTCAAAGGTCATCCAGTCCAACCCTTGCCAATACATCCCTGATGTGGTGGCTGGATGACCACCTCTTTTGAGCTAGTCTGCTCCATTCTCAGGAAGCTCTTCCTAATGTTTAGTCAGAAACCCCTTTCTTGTAATTTGAGTCCATTAACTGTGGCCTTGCCTTCTGAAGGAACATAAAGCAAATTTGCTTCACCATCTGTGTGGCATCCCCTCAGATATATAAAGCTTGCTTTCATATTGTCTCTTAGTTAATCTCTTCTCCATGCCCAGCTCCATCAACCTATCTTCATAGGACTTGGTCTCTAGAACCCTCCCCATCTTTGTCCCCTTCCTCTATGGAGACACTCTAGTTACTCAATAGCCTTTCTCAAACTGCAGTGGCCATGTAAATAAAACAAGCAGCTGTGGGTGCTTATTTTACCAAAATTAAGGACCGATTCATGACACATTCTTTAGAGGCTTTCGAAATGAGGAACTTCCTGCAATAACCTTGTGAGGTTCAGCAGTCAAGATGAATGGGCTGTTATAATGGGCTTTGAAACTTCTTTGAAAGTGCCCAGAAATCCAATAGATTTTTGACGCTATTAACCCTACATCCCTAGCCACTGACTCAGTAGTCATCCTGCAGAAACAACAGGGAATTAAAAAATGGAGGTGTTGCAATACAATTTCCTAAGTGCTTGGGTCTTGCATTTAAATTGCCTTTGTCCCGTTGCAATCAGTTGAGTTAAATGGATTTTTCCCAAGTGCATTAATACCAACTAAAGTGGTTCAAAGCCAGCTATTCCCTTCCAGTGTGTGATAAGAGTCTGTTGTGGAAAATAAAATATAATCAGGTGCCTAATGAAGCCTTTGGTGTGTCCTGGCTCAACAGATAAATCAACTTTGACTGTGTGATTTTGGCTGCCAGCTTGCCGCCCCAAGATTGCAACTTGTGCATTACCCAATGAAGCAGAAGACTTAATGGCCTCCACTGCTCCAGACAGCCTCCCTCTGTCCTTTTGTTATTTCCCTTTCTCATCCAGGTGTATCACACAGAAAGTGGAGCGAGGGAGTGGTGGGTGAAAGGACCAGACCAGAGGGGTGGAATACGTTTGGGGAAAGAAAAGCTGCAATGGTTGAGTCCCCAGCTTTGTCGGCCATAAGTACAGTGATATAGTTGCCCTAACTGGAACCCAGCATCCCCATTCATGCAACCGAATACTGGAGATATTGCAGTGGTTTCAGGGGCAAGCTATGCAGTAGGGCTGATGCACATCATTCATGAGCTGATACATGTAATGACTTGGGATGATTTAGGATGACAAATTGGGGGAGGGGTTTGAGGAGGGTCATTTTACAGGGAACCAGGCAGAGGGCCTTCTCGGTAGTGGCACCCGACCTTCCCACCAGATGTCAAAGACAAAAACAACTACCAGACTTTTAGAAGACATCTGAAGGCAGCCCTGTTTAGGGAAGCTTTTAATGTTTAATAGACTATTGTATTTTAATATTCTGTTGGAAGCTGCCCAGAGTGGCTGGGGAAACCCAGCCAGATGGGCGGGGTATAAATAACAAATTATTATTATTGTTTGGGGGGGGGAGTGAAAACTCCTGGGGGGCAGAGGCAGAAACACAGATGCCAAAGAAGCAGCCTACACTCCAACATTTCTCAGGTGAAAATGTCCCTATTTTCATCTGAGGAATATTGGAGGGTATGCAACTGGTACTCAGAGGCATACTGCCTCTGACAGTGTCGTGTAAGAGGAGTGAATTCTCCCTCTCCTGCACCTTACCTTCTCCCAGTCAGTTGCTCCAGCCAAACATCTCTGTTCCTAGGTCCCTTCTGAAAGAGACTGGCACAGCCAGCCGCAAGGAGGTCAGGTACGAGTGGGTGGGGGTCCATTTTGGAACCTGCTGACACATGTAATGCACAAAAATAAAAAAGCGACAATTGCTGCAATCTTAGAACAATCACAGATTGAGAAGCCCCCAGCACTCCTGTTAGAGATTTCCCGTGCAAGCGATGGCTTTTGTGAGCGA